CATACATTCATTCTGAAGGTATAACTTAATGGTCTTTTTAGGTGCCAAGGACCCCAATGTGTATAGCGATAACAATACCCACAAAAGGGGAGACTGAAGATTTTCACTCTATTCTCTCTTTTATAAGTTTTTATTTTATTATAATATAAACAATCCATCATCCATTAAACAGTGTGTCATCTGGATACAAATATTTTGTGCAGTAACAATTCAAATTTACAATCATATTCATTATTTATCTATTCCAGTTTAATACAAATACCTTAAATATCTAATCTGATAACAATCCACTTCTTAATTTATTTAGCTCTATTAATTATGTTAACTCTATTGATGCATTTTTACACAGCTAATTTTACTTCAAATTCTTATATTTATTCTTTAACCATTGATAAAATGATTCCCATATATTATAATAATCCGTTTGTTCTTTCTCTTTAATTGCCTGTGTTAATCTGTTCATTTCTGCACATTCTAATATTTTCCTAATCACATTCTCCTCTGTGGGAATCTCTTCGCTTTTCCAATTTTGTGCAAATACATTCTAGCTGCTGTTATAACATGAATGATCAAATATACATTTTCTTTACTATAAGTTTCTGGTAAAATCCCCAGCAGGAATGTTTTAGGCTTTAAGTCCATATGTTGTTGTATCATCTTTTCCAACCACGTACGTGTTTTAGTCCGATATTTTTTTTGCTTCTACACATGTCTACCGTTTGTGATATTACGAGCCACATGTCTGGTGACATTTTCACTCTTTTCTCGTGGGTGAAGTGGAAGTCTCAAGATATTTAAAGGCAAAATACTTGCACTAAATCTAGCAGAGACTGAAGACACCTACTGTCACTCTTTATATAAAGAAAAACAAAAATTGTATTGTTGAAAATTGTCATTTTGAAAGCATAATGCTATTCGAGGGCTGCAAAAATGAAGAGAGATCAGTCACAATCCACAGGCTATGAAGTTCCCATTTCTGGCACATAAGGATTCAATTGTTTATTACCGTTTAAAACCATAAAGCTTGGTGGGAAGAATTGTCTTGAAAAACAGCCGGTACATAATCCCTGTAATTATTTATCTGATTCCAGAGAGAGTCAGAGTGGGAGAGAATGATATGCCATAATTAAGCAATAATGTATGCTTGTGGACAATTATTAGGTAGTGCTGACATCACTAAATGCTACATTATAGACGTTAATTAAGGAGTTAAAGAAGTCTGTAGGAAGCAATACCTCACCTTCATTGTTATTTATAAATACATCAGAGAGGTATCTGCCATCCATTTTTATTTCTATCAGCATTATAAAGTAGTTCCAATGAGATCCAAAGTACTAATCTCTATGCATTGCATTTTAAATTGTGTTTATTTACCGTGGAATTAAACAATTTACCTTTCAGATGTTGACTATCAAGGGATGATCAGATAAAAAATTTAGGATGAAAAAAATCTGAGATTAAACCAATGTTTCCAAAGACTGCTGTAGCAAATTCCAAACCTATTTGGAGCAGCAACAAAGAGGAACAGCATTGACCCTCCTCATACCCTGTTTACCTGAAAATAAGACCTCCCTGAATAATAATCCCAATCGGGCTTTTGAGCTAATGTGTTAAAATAAGTCCTCCCCCTAAAACAAGCCTTTCCCCAAAATATTTAACCGCATGCGTGTCTGGTCCCCGCCATTTCCTGGGGGAAGGGGGGAACATGGCACATGCACCCCATACAGAATGGCCTCATGGAGGCTGTTACCACAAACCTTAGCTACTACACCCCTTCTCTTTTGGCAGCCATAAAAAGAGCAGTAACCCAGCGATGCTAGGGTTGGCAAGAGTGTGCCAGAAACAGAGACAGAACTTCTGGCCCTCTCTGGATCACATGATCTGTGGGCCACGGGCCAAGGTTTTGAGGTTTTGTACCTCAAAAATAATAAGACCTTCCAAAAAATAAGGTCAAGTGCTTATTTCAGGGATCAAAAGAAAATAAGACCTTGTCTTGTTTTCAGGGAAACATGGTATGAGCCAAGCAATGTTCTCTCATTTGGAGTATTTGGAGCCGAGGTAGCGCAGTGGTTAGATGCAGCACTGCAGGCTACTTCAGCTGATTGCAGTTCAGCAGTTTGGCTGTTCAAATCCCACCAGGCTCAAGGTTGACTCAGCCTTCCATCCTTCTGAGGTGGGTAAAATGAGGACCCGGATTGTTGTTGGGGGCAATATGCTGACTCTGTAAACCGCTTAGAGAGGGCTGAAAGCCCTATGAAGCGGTATATAAGTCTAACTATTGTATTGGAGAGCCCCTCCCGCATAAGAAATCCCACCCACTCACCCCCAACCAACGAACTACTTTCCTCCACAGTTACAAGTGACATTGTGATCTTAAAAAATAAATGTCACAATTTCCCTGCAGGTAGGGTCAGAATTCTTTCCTCGATCTACTCAGTTCAAAAAAAAACAGTGAAACACTTACCACTATAGAGGTTAGGGCAACCTAAGGTACTTCTATCTTTTTGAAAAGTACTAACATTTGTTACGTTATATGTAAATTTCAATAACATTCAATAACAAAACACAGTTTTACTTTATTTAAATGTTATTTTATTCAGTATGTTACACCTATTCACCACAATCAACATTCTTAAACATTGGAGCCATCAACGTAAATATTCATCCTCAAATATCTGTAACTTTAGTATGTCTAGCCATCTGTACTAGTTGTTTCAAACAGTACATTACAGTTTTCTTATAATAATATACTTCAAATATAAATAGTGATATTTATCACTGATTTTCAAAAAACTGCCTCGCTAGCTATCTATCCTTAGTGGTATTGGTACTTCGTTTGTATATTTGTTTGGCTATATTCTAGGAAAAATACATAGTGGAACTGTGACCAAAATAAATTTTCAACATAATCTGATTGTAGAAAAGTCATACTATGATTAGAAAGAGATAATGATTCACCCTCTTCAAGTATGAAGATTTTCTTCTTTTTGGTGTCTAGATCAAAGTTTAAACTGCCAGGATGAAACCACCTTCTTGGCTTTGTCATTGGCCCAAAATAAACCATTATAGGACATATTTCTGGTACCCTGTTTCCCTGGAAATAAGACCTCCATGGATAATAAGCCCAATTGGGCTTTTGAGCGCATGTGCTAAAATAAGCCTTCCCCTGAAAATAAACCCTCCCCGAAAATATTGCAACACAGCAGCAGCCATGAGGTGAACATGCTCGCTGCCTCCTGCACCTCAAAAATAATAAGACCTCCCTGAAAATAAGCCCAGGGGCCTTATTTTGGGGGGGGTTAAAAGAAAATAAGACACTGTCTTATTTTCGGGAAAACACTGTAGTAGCCAACATACCAGCAGATATGCTTGGCTCTGTGTCTCTCCATGTTCACATAGCATGTTGTTATCTGCTAAGCAGTGGTGGTTCCTATTGGTTCGGTCCGGTTCAGCAGAATCAGAAATGGTTTGGCAGCTTGGGTCGCTGGAACCAGCAGCGACCCAGGCCTACCACATCCTCAAACCAGTTCTCTTGGTGGCCCCATAGGTGGCGCCATCTTGTTTTTCAGTTCTGCTCATACGCAGAACAATTTTAATTGCACTGCACATGTGCGTGCAGCATGCATCAAGAGTGCACGTAAAGCGCCCACATGAGCAAACCGTCAGTAGTGCCTGCCAGAATCCACCCCTAAGAGTCTCCACGTGAGTATATTGGTTTTAAATTTAGGTACTCTAACTTTCAACCTATTCAGGGTCCTCCAAGTAGCATGGCAGGTCAGATCTTTCAGCCATATTCTCCTTCAGTGTTAATCCTTGCTCGATGGTCTCCTTCCTCCTTCTTTTAATTTGTTTCCATTCTTGTGTATCCTTAAGAATGTTTGTTCTTGCCATAAAGCTGTTCCTAGATCTGAGTCAGCTTTATGGGGACTTTATGACACTCTCTAAAAAATAATCTTTAAACATATTTCATTTCTTGTTCTCCATAAGTGGCAAGACATAAAGAATGGGCTAAAATCATATTTTCCTCTGTGCAATGTATAAAATAACTGTAGGGACTGTTGTCAGAGATAATACTGAAAATACATTTTGTTGTGTGAGTTGTATACTAGTATGAATTGCTAATCTAGGAAAATGTAAATGAGAAAATGTTTGGTAATTAGTAATTTAACTCTGATGGATTACAATTGAATAATCACGTTTCTGTGAAATGTTATCATAGCTGCAAATTATACTGTGGCTTAAAAATATGAATAGATTGGTAATACAGGATTTCAAGTATCAGGAGAAATCTATAGTCCACTTCTGCCATCTTGTGGTCAAGGTTGGAACAAGTCTTGCCATCAAGCAAAGCTGAAGGAAAACAATTCAAAACATTCACACTGGGCTTAAAAATAAAACTATAAAATAACAATTGGAATCTCTCAAGCAGGACAACCGATTGAACTTGTCAACTGAGACAATCTCTGACAGTCTGATCAGTTGGTGACATACTACACAATTTGCTATGTGAACTAGTCACAGTGGCAAGTAGGAAAAGAGAAATGAATATAGGTCAGGAGAAAGGAGTCTTTCAAATTTCGTTGAGTTCCGCATCTTTTTCTAAATAATTTTAGCATCTATTGTCCTAAAATTAACAAGGGTTTTACAGCACAGAAATGTGTTTAAATTGGACTTGTTTAGGTTTTGGTACTGGAACAAGTAAACTAATAAAACTTGCTTCTCAGCTTCTGAAAACTGCCAATCTCTTAATACCAGATAATCACAGTTGTTATATGGTTCAGGATAATGTCCATTTTAATTAGATTAAGCCTTGATTTAATATTAACCTTTAATATGTGATAATGATTAATATCACTGATATTTTAAAACATATTGTTGAAGCAAAATTTAAAGTTTGATTTTCACTGTTATGGCTTGGTCTGTATGGTTTATTTGAATTGCTTCCTGTGCTCTCTCTCTATTTTTTTACCCACTACAGAGAAGCTCTCTCGGATAAAATGGCCAAGTATTACTGCGAATAATCACATCAACCGTTCCTATCTTCACATCCTTTTTACGTCATGGGACCTGATGCCAGTTTCCTAAGTACTGGAGTGCTTCATATCATTGTATGGGGTAGCTTGGGAGCCATGGCAATGCTTCTGGTGTTTAGTTTCCTCCTCTTTCTCTGCTCTGGTTGTGACAGGTAAGGACTTAGTAAAAAAAAAAAAAAGAATAGAAATGTAATTAACTTTGGAAAGCTAATAGCCCATAAGTGAAGGGCAAGAAACAATCTATTCTGAGTTCCATTCAGGGATATTGCAATCTCTTTGAGTATTTGTAATGAATCATTGAATAAAATATATTGAAGGGAAATATTATATTGTGGTTCCTTAATAGGAGCCTAGAATCCTATTTATCAGGGGGGGAAAAACTCAGAAGCTGGTGGCAGTTTTTCCAACTAACAAATTTTAATTCAACTTCCCAGAACATGCCATAACAAAATTCAGAGTGACCATCTTAGAAAAACAGGACTTTAAAGCAACAATAAATTGATGAATATCAAATTTTATATCAAAAGGTTTCAGGAACTTTCAGAAGGTTTCAGCAAACTAATGGGTTTTTAATGTATAACAATGATTAATAGTTATAGTATCCATAATTTGTCTCACATTTCACATCTATATAACCAATATAGTTTTCCCTCCCTTCCCTTTCTCCCTCCACCCCCCCGCACTTTAAATCTTATATTATTTTAGTTGCTTTGTGCACCTGATGAAAGAGGCTGCTGCTCACAAATGTTTGTGCCTTTTAATAAACATTTCTTGGTCAGAAATCATGCTGCCAGGCCTCTAATTTTAGAGTAACATGGCTGTTCTACTATAATAATAATAATAATTACATATAAAATAGCAAGAGTTATGGATAATTTAGAACAAATGTTTAGCATTTTTATTTGGTTATTATCTATTCATAAAACCTGATCAAGAATTTCAAAAAACTTTGGCAAACATTGTGTAATCTATTTCCATCCAAAGGAAAGGATTTCTTAACAACATAGGATTAATGTGTTCACTTTGACATGTGCTTTCTTAGCAGATAATAAAAGAATTGCCATACTTATAAAATTATATGAGTACTATTAATGTTTTCAGACTCTAGAACTTATTTTTGGTTGTAGTCAAAAAGCTCAAGTTCAAAACATCAACTGCTCTCTGAATTCTATATATCATCTACCTCTTCAGAATGAGAACGTTCTCCATTATACTATCTCATAATAGAAAGAAATTAATAATGAAGACTTTATTGAAGGTATCAAGGTTGCCAAATAATTCTGAATCAGCAACAAAAAAGACTGATTTTTTAATGACCATTCAACCCAGCCGAAAAAAGAATAGAAAAGAGCATCAGCTTGAACTATATTATTTTCATGTGGCAATATTTGAAAGAATAGCAATGCAGAATTCAAAATTAAAATATAGTAATAAGCATATACTAGTCAGAAGTCAGAATTAGTAATAATTTACATTATATAAATCTTATTTGTTGAAACTGATTATGGATTTTCTAACAATATATCTAAATCTGATTTGTATTACAGGGAAAAGAGGCCTGAGCAGCAAAATGGAGACCATGAAAATCTGATGAATGTGGTAATAAAAATAGCTATTTAAAATGTTTTTTTTCCCTATAGTTTGTCTTTAATGAAGGAGAAAGACTGAACTATGGAGCTGGAGTATTATTTAAGGGTTGGGCATGAATCAATGCTAAGGATGCATTTGTGTAATCCCTATACAAAATGATAAATGACATTTGCCACATTTTATAGATGAAAAAGATACACCAATTACCTAGTCAAGCTGAGCAGAGTTAGTTTCACCCTGTGGTATACCCACTTAGCACACCTGTACATGATTTTCTGGTCAAAATAGCCATATGTAATAAACAATATAAAATAAGAATTCTGATGCATACTCCTGACAGAAGGAACTTTCACTATTTGAAAATTAATCTCCAGAATTTCAATAGCATGTTTAGTGTTTTTAATGCACATTTGACATCATGATCATTTCTTCTCTGTAATCATTTCAGGCCTGAGGGATATCCTGCTGAGTTAAGAGGGCTGATTTTGATTTTTTAAAAGACCACGAAAATACATATTTTTAAAACAAATTTTAAATGATTTTTATTTGGATTTTAATATCTGATCAGCAGTATAATCTGTTACTGGTATGGGATGGACAGCTATACATACATAATCAGGAACAGACCTATACAAAGCTATAATTTTAAAAAACTTTTATTGTTATATAAGAATTTACATATACACATAAATTTACAGAAACTGTAAAATCTTAAGACATACATTTTTATAAGCCTTTTTTTAATGTCATAAAGAATATTGTTATATATCTTTGGAAAAGAAAAATCTTTATTATAGGAACCTTTTATGAGTTCATTAACATGCTAACAATAGATTTACCCGCACATACTTTTTTCACCCTTGTACATTGAAGAGGTTTTGTGCTTTATAGTCGTCATCTTCTTCTCCATCTTCTTCTTCTCCTCCTCCTCCTCCTCCTCCTCCTCTTCCTCCTCCTCCTATTAAATATTGTTACCATCAATCCTCTCTTTCAGGTAATCTTAACATATAAATCTCTCCTAAAAATCCAAGAACAATAAAATAAAATACAATAAAATACAAATTACGATAAAAACGGTACAATGAAACTTTGATAAAGCTTGATTTATTGTAACAATATAACTAGAAAGTTTTTCACGCCTCTCCGGGAGTGTGCCTGGATCTCCTCAAGGGGAACACCTCACAGCTTGGGAAACTATGTCTTATGCACAGATTAGCAATGTGAGTTATGCAGTTTAGTAAGGCCCTTACTCTTTCATTGTATTTTCCCCCTTTAAGTACTGTCTACCAGAAGGATGGCTGACTTTCTCTTCTAAGGAGAGATGAGAAACAGTCCTGAGATTCAGACTATCTGCAGAACTTCTGTAGCTATTTGGTGTTTTTGCAATCCTCGCTACTAGAACTCTTAACATTAACATGTCATCTACCAATCTACAGCTAGCTAGTTACCATCAATCATAAAATGGATGTTCATATCCTGACCACTTCATTTAAATCCACATTTTGTTTTGCAGCCTTCAGATAAAGAGGCATTTAGTCACTCTGTCACAAGTCTGGCTACAGATCCAATTGCAAGCAGTGAACAAAATGGTGGAATCAGTAATGGCGATGGTAAGATTATCATTATGTGATTTCTCAGCACTTGATGACTCACCATAAATATATACATTGTCACTCTACTGTTTTAAAAATGATGTAAGCTGACAATCCTGATTCAATTTATAGTAACTATTGTTACAGAACAGCAGTAGTTCAGATAAAATGTCAATGTAAGACAGCTGGCTGGTACAAATCAAGAACAGAGCTGGCTCAGGACCTTGGACAGTACTATATGATTTGTGACTTGAATTCAGTACCGTGGCTAGCAGTCTTGCAGTTCTTAGTACTGCAGGAGAACCCTAACTAGTGCAAAAACTTAGTTATTAATAGTTAACAATAGTTTTGATAAAAATGACTTAAGTCATTCCTTTGGAAATAGTTAATAAAACTAAAGATGTTCTTATTGCCTACTAGAAGTTGAATGGGAATATAGCCACAAATAGGATTCTACTACAGAAGAGACTTTGACTAGCCTTATAACAATATATGAAAAACAATCAGATGAGAGTAGAGGAAAGCTACAGAAATTGGATCATAACCAACTTAAAACCCACTGATTTCACTGAGATTCTTCAAGATGATTAGTCAGGATACCACTTTGTACTGAGGAAGAAAAAGAAGAGTGTGTATTTATATTGTGATTCCGCATGGAAAAATATGTATGTCTGCATAGTTTTTAAATACACTTCTAGATTTGAATATTTTCTGTATATGCTATGATAAGATTTTTTCTGTTACGTCAATAGTGTGACAATTCAGTTCTCGAGTCAATTACAGGTAGTCCTCAACTTCCATTCGGCTTAAATTCATTCAGTGACCAAAGTTTCTACAGTAGTGATTCCCAACCTTTGCAGCTTGGAGACTCAACGAGGGAGAGGGGAACCCTGCCACACAAGTGGCGAGCTGGCACACAGCTCAACTTGCACAGGTTGAGTTGCACGTGAGCGCATGCGCCCCAGCACAGTCATGCAGCCCGGTTGTGAATAGGCCACAGCCATGGCTCAGGGATTGGGGACTCCTGTTCTACAGCACTGAAAAAAATGACTTATAACCATTTTTTACACTTGCCACATCACCATGGTCAGGTAATAGAAATTCAGATGTTTGGCAATTGACATATATTTATTACAGCTGCAGTATCCTGTGACCTTTTGACAAGCAAAGTTAATGGTAAAGGCAGAGTCAGTTAACAACCATATCATTAACATAACTATAGTGATTCAATTAACAACCGTGGCAAGAAAAACAAGTAAAGTCATAAAAGCCATTAAGCAAAACTTACTTAACTTGCTTAGCAATAAGTCTTGCTTAGAAATGGAAATTTTGGGCTCAGTTGTAGTCGTTAGGTCAACCACTACCTGTAATAAACTATAATATACAATGCTCTACTCATTACTAATAAACAAATATAGAAGGAAATATATGTGAGGAAATGGGAACCAGTTAGATTTACTCACTTTATAACTGGAAAGTCAACTGGAGGCTCTTCCTGGTTGAGTACGCATTTGAAATTATCTTAATTTTAAAAAACCTTTCTTTCTAGAACCGTGTTTCTCAACCTTGTCAACTTGAAGATGTCTGGACTTCAACTCCCAGAATTCCTCAGCCAGCGAATGCTGGTTGGGGAATTCTGGGACTTGAAGTCCAGACATCTTCAAGTTGACAAGGTTGAGAAACACTGTTCTAAAAGCTTAAAATAAACATAGTGATATTATGGGATGAATTCCTTAAAGTAAATATTATAGACTTGGATATTTTTTTGATAGAACGCAGGACGTTGGTAACCCTTTAGCAGTAGTTTTTCTGCTCCAAAAATTTATTTTATTTGTTTACATTTACTGTAAAAATTGTGTTTTGGGTTTCCAGTGAGTATGATGTCACATCCAAAGGAAAAAGAAAATAAGGGATAAACACAAACATTGTCTCAAACATCAGTCTCCCACACAATGCTATGTGGAAACTGGGCATAGATAGGTCTGATGGGCAGGATCAAAGCTCAGGTAGCTTAAAATGGTATGAAGCCTATGACATGGAATTTGTATCAAAGCACCTTTTAATAAAGGAATACTTTGAAAAAATTAACAGAGACATTCAAAATATAAGAATCTATAATGGAGACTACAGTACTTTAAAACCAGAAATTAGAATGTAAATTTCATTTTATTTCAGAGAGAAGAGATTTCCCAAATTGCTTCTCTACATAGCTTCCTAAACCCTTCATTCATAGTTTTAGAAGAACCTCTTAGTTCTTATTGATGCTCTAGATATTTCAGAGCCAGGGTTCCGCACCTTATGTCACCTCCAGCTCACTCTGTCCTTATCACTGGCCTTCCATTTCTCTACACTCGCTATTTCCTACTCATTCAAATAGTAATCCTTAATGCCCTCATCCCTTGTATTGTTGGTTCTAATTCACATCCTCTCTCCCCTCCGATTCCAGAGTAAATTAGTTTTTGTTCCTGCCATAGTTTCCTCCTACTTGAAGAAGTGCTTAGCTCTCTTTTTCTCCTAGAAACCAATTCACCAAAATCATATGGATATTTCCAGATTTCCTAATTTTCCTGCAATCTCTTTCGCATGCAGTCTCCCAGAAGAAGAAGAAATATTATTTTGCTTGGCATAAAGGTTTTCACCAAGGGCAGGGCCAAGGGGTTTTCTTTAGCCTTTATCTGAACAAATCTAGATATATTTCCCTTGCTCTTCCTTGTTAAGTAATGTCAAATCGGTGTCTGGAAATCAACTATCAATCTTATGATCACAGGATAGAGTGGAGGGGTGGGGCTTTACTTGAGCATATTTGGATTTGCTTGCCCATTCACGACAAAGATGTTAAATAAACTTTAGTTTCTCGAAAAATAAGCCTCTTCCTGAAAAATAAACCCTTCACCAAGGGATAAAAAACTATTAAAAAGAGAAAAAGCCTGGTTTCAAAATAACATAAAGCAATAGTCATATCAGATGGCATTAACTCAACGCTGGGTATCTTCAACAGTAAAACAGTATATCCAATTCCCAACTTTTGTAGGTGATCCAGAAGCTAAACATAGTCAATGATATCAAATGCTTCCAGAAAGTAAAATGACACCAGTAGGAAAGTACCATCCCAAGTCCTGAAATCCTGGGACGGTGAAATCCTCTGAAATCTGCTACCAGTTCAGTGAGTTTGCTACTGAGCACATGTTTGCGTGCGCATGCGGGCCTGAGGTGTGCCCACACAGTGCTAAAAAAGGAACTTTTTGAAGCTGTCCGAGCCTGCAAAGATAAGTAGAACAGCAAGGGGAGAATCCGCTGTGCCATGCAATTTAAATTAGCTAGAAAAGAGGAAATTCGATGATTCTAAATCACATGTTACAGCTGATCATCGGAAATATCGGTCCACCCAAACCAGTAGCGTCAGTTTGGGCGAACTGGTCCAAACCAGTAGCATTTCACCCCTGCTGACAGGCATCAACCAGAGTGATGAATGCCATTTCCGTCTCAAGTCCAGGCCTGAAACCTTACTGGAAGCCTAATTGTTTCCCCTAGGGCACTCTGCAACTAAACCCATTAAAAAAGAAAGGTTGGGTTGTTATTCACTAATCTTAGATCCAGAGAATTCCCTTTCAAAGAGAAAAGGACTTGCTTAAAATTATCCAGGAAAATTCCGTTCACCAATATGTTATCAATAGTTTCATGACTCCTGTGGTCTGTTTTTGTCTCTTGACCCAGGTCATGTTCAAGCCCACCATAGTGTTGATATACTGTGAAATATCATTTCCAGCGAAATATCAATCACAGTATACAAGCCAAAATGAATCCTAGATAACCATACAAGATACTGTCCCAGTCACCATGACAGATCCTGCCAATGAGGAATAAGATTCTGGTGAAGTTGAATGACTTTGCATCAAAATACAAGGGAAATACTAGGAATTAGGGACATGGTGGAACTAGGAACTAGGGACACAGTGGCTCAATAGCTAAGTCGCTAAGCTTGTCAATCAGAAGGTCGGCAGCTCGGAGATTTGAATCCCTAGCACCACGGAACGGAGTGAGCTCCTGTTACTTGTTCCAGCTTCTGCCAACTTAGCAGTTCAAAAGCACATTAAAAATGCAAGTAGAAAAATAGGAACCACCTTTGGTGGGAAAGTTACAGTGTTCCGTGTGCCTTCAGCATTTAGTCATGCTGGTACATGACCACAGAGACCTATTCGGACAGCGCTGGCTCTTCAGCTTTCAAATTGAGATGAGCACCCCCTAGAGTCAGGAACGACTAGCACATATATGCAAGGAGAAACTTTACGTTTAACTAGGAAGCAAATTTTCTTTTCCCTTTCTAGGAGAGATTGAGTGATCTTAAACAGAACTACTGACTCCATACAATAAAAGTGCCGACATTTCATACTTTCAAGTATGAATTTTCACATTTACCAATACATTGTAAAGTCTTTAGCCTATTTCACCCTCTTTCCTCTACCAATGTTAGCAGTTCCATCCATGACTTCTCTTCTTGACAAAACAGTCCAGCCTCAATCTTCCAGAATAGTTGGAAACATGCTGCAGTAATCTCAAAGAAAAACAAATCCAATACCAAAAAAACCTCATGTGACCCCAAAGCAAAAAGAATCCAAATGGAATGAAAAATAATAAAGTTAACAAGCAAAGAAAAAAAACCAAATATAAACCAAAATAAACTTGTATTAATATTTTCAGTCTGGCAACAAAGATGTTCCTTATGTGCCAATATCTTTTTTTTAATGATACACATTGTGCTATATAGGTTAATGGACTTATGAACTTATACTTAAGTATTTATGCAATTTTCTTATAGTTCTTTCAGAAGATAGTACAGCTGCTTCTCTCCAACCTTATGAAGAAGTGCAAACCTCCATTACAGATCTTTTGGATCAACAGGACACATTGGGAAGATCTTTAAAATGTCATCAAAGTAGAGAGCTACCTAGAATTCCTCCAAATAATGCCATAGAAACAATTCTTACCACAAGAAATGCAGAAAATGACCAGAGTGTGGGAATGGAAGGGCCCTATGAAGTGTTGAAAGATAGTTCCTCCCAAGAGAACATAGTAGAAGACTGCTTGTATGAAACAGTGAAGGAAATTAAGGATCTGGGAGCAGCAGCCAACTCAGAGAAATGCAAACCAAAGATGACTGTGATGGTTAATGGAATTTTAGATCATGTTCTTGAGAAGAAGACAGAAGCGGCAGAATATGCATCTGTTGACAGAAATAAAAAAAGTTGCCACAGTGTTAATTCAGAGAGTCCTCTTAGCAGTACAACTCCAGATGTGGAAGAAGAAGCTCCACCTCCTGTACCAATAAAACTTCTTGATGAAAATGAGAATGTACAGGATAAAGGAGCCAAAGAAGAGGAGGAAGTAATGGAAAGGCTTAATGAACCTGACAAGGTATATGTTATTTTGTGTTATCAATATAAGAAAGTGAAGCTTTAATTTGAAAGACTTGAAGTATGTATGTATATAAACTATGGCAAATGATCTTGCTCATTAGTAAATATAAATGTATAGTTAATATTTTTTCTTGGTATCTTAATGCAAAATATTAAGATCAGAACTAGCAGTATTTGTTGATCTATATATAATCTGTGAATGTTTACATGTGCATTAATGAATGAAAGATAATATTCAAGTGGCTAGAGGAAGGCATGGAATCGTATGCAGTTGGTTATAGTTTTAAGAGTACTGAAATTTGCTGCTTCCTAAAATTTTAGAGACATTTGCATGAATGTTTTTTTCCAGCATCTACCCAGGAGACACATGCTTGCCAACTGATCATTAATTAGTCTAATTAGTCTGTCCCTTGTTTTGAAATATTTCAGATAATCTGCATTGGGAGCAGAAGGTATTCAAAGTGTTACTGTTGGCCAACATCTAGCCAGCCAATCAAACACAAAATGTAGGAGAGAAGAGAATCCTGGGGTGGAATCTAAAACTGAATTTTGTTAATGTGATATGGTTTTTTTGCTCTCCTCTCCTCTGCAAAAACCTTCAACATTTGTTCCAGAAAGACAGAATGACTCACGCCCTACTGTTTTCATTAATGCTCATGAAAACTTGCAATTGGATTTCTCCCATGGCCTCCAGATTTCTGATCTAATTTTAGATTTAAGTGTATCCACAATTTTAATTTGTAATAAAAAACAAAGAACTTTCTCTAATTCTTGCTTCAAATGTCCAACTGCTTATGACAGCATGAATTTCTATTAAGTAGATTACAGATCAAAATGTGTCAAATATTTCAGTTTTCAGAAATGCAATCTGTCACATTTTAAATAATATTTAAAAAAACTAATTTGAATAACTCCTTAAAGAGAAGCAACAAATGAGAGACTTAATTATCCCTAAAATGCTATCCAGGATACTGACTTACCAATGATAAACAAATTAGCGTTTTCCTGCCCCACATCTTCGAATTGTACAATTATAATGCTGAGGAGGAGGATGAAAAAGAATATGATGATGATGACGACAATGATGATGGGGTGCTTACTGGAACAAAACTTATTTGTTGATAAACAACTCAAAGAAGTTTACTAGTACTATCCAAGGGATTGGAAAATGCTCGTGTCTTATTCCTTTGTTTTCTTCCATACCTCACACTTAACAAAATTATCATAGAAGTAAAACTAAGTAAAACTGTTAGCCTTTTTTTCCAGATCAGTTAGCCAAAATTCATGGCTGGATGTGGGGATGGAAAGGAAGGAGTTAAGCACAGAGACAGTAGGTTTACTTAGTATTATATTTAAAGTATTCCAATTTTCTTAACCACAAAAAGTTAAAAGTTAAAAAAATAGAACTAGTATAAATGTCTTTGTTCCAGTTCCATGAATGATCATAAATTTTTGTTCATCCAAACTGGAAAAATATTTTTGGAGTTATTATTATTCCAAATGTTCAAAAAATTATTAATAGAAAATACAAAAATAGAAAATAACAAGAAAACAATGGAGGAAAAAGAAAAGGGAAAAGGGAAAGGGAAAAGGGAAAAAAGAAAGAAAAAGCACTGACTTCCAACTCCTTTTGGTGCAGTAGAATAAGATAACAGCATCAGACCTCAACTTTTTACTTTTATATAATAATACAAACTAGTGATATCTATAACAACAGACCTATCTAATCGGCAAAACCCAAAATCGAAGTTTCAGGTTTTTTCACCTCAAGCACAAAGTCCAAAAGCAGTTTCCAAGTAGAAGCAAAGCTAATTTTGTTTTTGCTTTTTCTTTAAATCAGAGCAGTGAATTTGGCCATCTCAGCATCAACTTTTGTAGCCATTTATACATTGTAGGAATCAAAGTATCCTGCCATTTTTGTACATAATATAATCTTGCTGCCATCAACATCTATAGCATCAAAGTTCTATTTTTCCCTCAAATCATCTTCCATAGAGTTATTAACTGTTAATATTTCCTTAGCTATTCCAGATACCATGCTTGACTTGATTAGCTATTTATATTACTGACTATTTGTTGTTAGGGAACAGAAAAAAGCTATTCTCAATTTCATTGGAAGGCTCCACATTTATAGCCTTCTACTTATTCCTCTTCTCCATTCTTTATTCAGTTGAATCTCCTCTTTTATCCTGTATCTGCTTGATTTGATGAAGAATTTCTGATGAAGGCTTTGTTTGGAAGCCTTTTGAAAATCTAGATGATTATCTATCAATCTGAAAAAAAATAGCAAGAGACTTCTCTTTCAGATTTTTTTTTCTTTTCAGCAAATCTTGATAATTTTATCTTTAATAATACTTTGTTAATAAGTTTCAAGAGGTTACGTTAACTTGCGCTGATGCATTTTAAAAAATCACTGTGACATTGCATGCTTTCTAGTCCCCTGGGAAAGAAGGCAATCTTAGAGACATTTTTATTACCATATTTTTCGGAGTACAAGATGCACATTTTTCCTTAAAAAGAAGCTGAAAATCTGGGTGCGTCTTCTACACTGAATACAACATTTTTTTGCCTCCTGAGACCCCGCCCGCTTCACTGAAATGGCCGTGCATAGCCTTTAGGAGGCTTTCAGAGTGCTCCTGGGGGCTGGGGAGAGCAGAAATGAGCGAAAAACTGGGTGGTTTTGCTCAATTTTGCCCCCCATCCCCGAGGAGCACTCTACAAGCCTTCTAAAGGCTATTCGTGCCCTTTTTTGGAAAAAAAATGGGACCGTTTTTGCAAAAGACTGGCCTTTTTTAGGATGTCTGCAGAGTGCAACAACTTTTTTTAAAAATTTGCCTCTTCAAAATCTTGGTGTGTCTTATACTCCGGTGCATTTTATACTCTGAAAAATATGGTACCTTTTGTTTTAGATCAGAGAAGTTTATTTCAATAAGATGTAGACCTTAATTTCTCAGAATCTCACTTGAAAAACCTTAACCCAAACCCCTTACAGTATATTCTTTACAGGGAAGATATTTTTTTTAAAAAAATCAGCTTCTTTGCTAACATTTTTGGTATCCTTCACACCCAAAAGTAAGTCACAAAATAGCAATTTTTCTGTTTCTGATAAAAACATTCACTGATCTTAACATTGATATTAATGTCTTCCTTCTTCCATTCCTTCCTAGTATCTTTCTCTCTTCCTTGAATGGAAGGATTTCTATGGTTTGGAAAAAGCAATCAATTTTCTAGTCTTGCATCTTCTTCCTTAGAAAGGAGCTGTAGCTCAGTGCATATGAAGCATATATAGCATATGCTTTGCATATTCCTAGAATGGAGATGGTTGGAACAAATTCAGGACAACTTGTAGAATTGCAACAAGTCACTGAAAAGAAAATGTTGACCAAGTTATATGGTATACCAGTAGTCTGATAGCATAAAAAAGATTGAGTGAAAGTATGGTTCTGCATATCTTGAAGGAGGCATGGTATGCTTCTTCTTTAGGAAGCCACTGCTGGACCTAACAAAAATTTTTGTCCCATCATCAACCATCCCGCTCTAGGAAAGATGGTTGAGAAGATGGTCAGATTGCAGCTTCAGATGACCCTGGAAGAAGTAGATTATCTGGACCTTTTCAGTTAGGATTCAGGTTGGGGATAGAATAGAGATAGTGTTGATTGCACATCTCAATGCTTCTGACAGCGCTAGTATAGCTGTAGTGCAATTGCTCTGGTTCTTTTTGCTTTTCTGCCATTTTCTTTCATTATGTACTTCTGCATTGACTACAGGGAGTAGGAGTGGGATACATGGTGATTGTCTATACCAGGGGTGGGTTTCAACCGGTTCGCGGTGGTCCCCATGAACCGGTTGGTTGGCGAACCCGGAAGTAAGTAACTTCCGGGAACGGCGAAGGGCCCACCCGCCCGCCCGCTTCCACGCAG